GTATAGTTCATATTTTGTTTTGTTCTTGATAAACTCAACTACATTTGAGTCAAGTTACAAATTCTATTAAGAGGCTAGAGAGGGTTAATGTGTATGCCTTGCAAGCTGGCACCCCCAGAACCTCATGGTATTATAACAGCATCAAATATAACCCTGAAGCCCCTTCTGTGCTTCCAGGCCCTGGAGGACCCTCAGAAGCAGAGGGTTGCACTGGGTAATTTTAGTCCTCCAAGGGCCCTTAAGTTGAACTATTGGACCAGTTGAGGCTGCCTGTCCACTGAACTCCACTTGGGAATTCCCCCCAAAAAAGAATTGTTTTAATGTTTAAATGCAATCTATTATAAGGATAGACAAAAGATGAAAGCTTGAGATTTGTGTGTTAGAAAACTATCTATAATACATAGAAATTGAACAAAATCACAGGTTGCCTGAAAGGAAATATTTAAATAATTCTAAGTATATGACAAAAATAGTAAAATTGCTTCACAAACACATCACTGGATCTAAAACTAATCATTGCAGTGGAATTAACTGTGTCCCTTTTAAATGACACCTTCATGGAGACAGAGCCTTTCAGAAGGTGTTAAGTTTTAAAAATATTTACAGTGGAGTCCTGACTAATAGAATCTGTGCTATAGCAGTGACCATCTTCACTTAGGAGCAAGCTCTTACTATGATGACACTCTCACCATGAATTACCATTCTTGACTTCCAGGGAAAAAAGACATCTAAAGCCAAGTGAATCGTCCATTTTATCTAAAAAGATCATATTTAATTATCAATTAACAAGGTTCTAGGATGTGGTGGAACACATGCCTCACATGTGTGAAGTCCTGTGTTCAATTTCCAGATCTAAATAAAATAAAGCATAGAGCTATGTATATATCTTAAAAATACCTGCATGGATAAAACAAAATATGTCTGTAGTGGAATTTGTTGAAAGAAAACAATTTCAAACTCTGATTATTTTTTAAATATTCATATATATATTTTTTATGAAAAAAATATATGGGGCTGGAGCTAGTACAGAAGACACGGCATTTGCCTTGCATTAGGTCCCCAGCATCCCATATGGTCCCCAGAGCACCACCAGGTCCCTAAGTACAAAGCCAGGAGTAACCCCTAAGTATCGCCAGGTATGATGCAAAAAGCCAAAAGCAAAAAAAAAAAACAAAAAATAAAAAGGTAGATTTGGAGGCTTTAAGTAAAACCTGACAAAAAACTCAACATGATATCTAATGACCAAATTCCTTTTTTCCATATTCATCTTAATACAATACCTGTTTATTAAAAATTTGCAAATCATCTGCTTAACAAAATGAAAATATTTCATATACTATGTAATATTTCATCAGATATAATTTGCAAGTATAATACAACATTTTCCTCTCATTGTCAGTTGTATTTCTCTAGCTCACTTGTATATCTAGAAACTTGATATGAAATCTTCCATATTTTCACAGAAAAATAGCAGTCATTTTTTTTTCTACAAGTGGCATTACAGTCATTTGGAAATACATTCAGTCAATAACAGGCCACTAAGTTGAGTGGTACTAAATTAAAATGGTTAAAACATTTTAATTTGGGGAATTTACTAATAAATTCTGGTTATCGACTAGCAGCATCAGAAGTAACCAGAATCCTGGTAAGAAAAAAAAAGAATATTGGGTACCATGCTACACCTATCTAATCAGAATTTAAATTTTCAGATGATTCTGTGATGGTAAATTTTGCTAGAATATTCTGGATAGAGATGAGAACACATTCCTCTTACAGAGCTCAATTAAATTTCATGCCCCATACTTTATCTTCATTTTTTCAAAATAAGTGTGAAAGACCCTTATTTTCAAGTATACATAATATAAATATCCATGATCAGAGAATTAAAATCCCAGTCCAGAGTATTACTAATTTAACACAGTAACTCTCTCTACATTTGGTGATGACTGAAAGTAATAGGATTTTTAAATATCAAGTACATACATATAGAAATTCCACATACAGTATTTTAAATAAATTTGACTTGAGTACAAGAGAGCCACAAATAAGAGTCACTATCAGGTGAAACAACTGTGTAGAACACGGTGTTACACTACAACCTTAGGAAAACTTTACTTGTCTAATTCTTCCCTGGTTATTATTTAAAATTAAAATGTATAATCAAAATAATAATGACAAATAGGCATGCACATTTAACTTTTTGTTAAATAGACTACTTGAAGCACATATAAAACAACAGTTCTCAAAAATTAATATGCAGAAAACCCATCTGAGGAGAAGTTAGAAATACAGATAATTCCTCTCTGAAACATCACACACTCAGTTCTCATTATTGGAGATTCACTAGAAAATAAGGTTTGGGGGAAAATATGTCAAGGTATGTGTACATAACAAGTTCTTTGAGTTTATCATTTTGTGTACAATCATGTAATACTTTTCAAAATTCCATATGACAATTTAGACAGTCTATGCAGTAATTACACATGTTCCCCAGTAAACTCTCATATTTCAGTCTGATCTCATTTCATTCCAGTTCTTCACACTGAGCAGTTTTTATTTAAATGATTCCCTTTTTAGCTAATGGCTCCACTATATAGCTGAATACTTAACTCAAAAAGCCAAGTATCATTCTAATTCCACGTTGTTAGCCCTTATATACATCCAGATGCTTAGACTAACTGATCCATCCATGAATATTTTTTATTTAAATTTTGCAACTTTCTTGGACTTTTCTTTTTCCAGGATTCTGAATCCTCACAGCTCTATATACCTCAATAGAACAAAGTCAAGTTAATCTTTCAAAATGAACATGTTTATGTCTGGCATCGGAAATTTCATCATACTATACAGGAAAAGAACTTAACTAAGGGGTAAATATTTTCACTTGCATATTTACCAAATATTTGAAAGATTATAAAGGAACTAACAGGCTGATAATAAAGAAATGAAACAATTTCATAGTGCCCAAGGAAGGAGATGTACTCTACATTATTTGTGTAACTCTCATGCTTTGAATCAAGTGCTTTAAAAAATTGAAAAGAATGTGAAAATTCCTCAGCTGAAAATGAAACTGAATGATCTCAAACATTTACAAACAAAAATAGAATTAAAAAAATGAAAATAAATAAAGGTAGAAAAAATAAGAAGGAAGGAAAAAGATAACTAGATGACTAAGAAGAGATATTATTGATAAATTCATATAAAAGGTGAAATACTTTTTCACTTGCTTAACCATTCAATGTTTCTCAACAAAAATTGAAAAACAGACATAACTTCCAACTGGAACATCCAGGTTACTTCATGATCTATTCTCTGCACACCTGTCAGCATTTTTAAACTCTCTTCATGTTTCCTTATTTCTGTCTGTGCTTAAATCTTTGTGTTTATCTGCATCACACTACTGTTATATCCATGTTTTTCAACATGTCAGTTATTTATTTATTGGTAATGCTACAACCTTCCTTGATGGGCAGCCAGCTTGTCTTTGGGAAGAGAGCTTAGTAGTCAACTCTGTAAAGAAGCATCTTTCTCAACTTTCTCAACAGGGATCTTTCTCAACTTTTTTCAGTTACTCTCCCCACAAAAAACAAGACAAACAAACAAACAAACAAACAAAATAAAACCATGGTGTGCTCGACTAGAATCCATTTTGTTGTATGTTCCAATTTCTGGAACAATGAAACTTTTTCTTAAAAGGTCTTATTCTAGTTCTAGCTAATAATTTTCACCTTTCCCCAGATAATCCCTCATAAATGTGTTCATGGCACCGTTGCCACCCCCTTCCCACCACAATAAGGCAGTGAACCACCGAGAGACTTCTTCATCAAGACCCTGAACTGTGTGATGCTCTTTGTGTTTCTGGAACGAGCAGACACCGTTGGGCTACACTAGCATTCAACAGGGATGAATGGGGACATAACTGGTTCCCTCTCAAGCAAATCAATGAGCAACGGGATGACAAGTGATACAAGTGATACAAGTGAAGTGTGTTCATACTTATTTTAAAGGGGTAACTAGTGCCAACAGGTAGCTGTTGCACAGAGTAGATGGACAAATGATTGTTGCATATAGATGTTTATACAAATTGTCCCTTTCTGTGTGGGATATAGGGATAAAAGGTATGCTATAATGGTCTATAGGAGAAGTTCATTTATACTTATAAAAAAAATAGTGGTGCATTTGACTTTTGTTACTTGCACTTCATATTTGCTCGTCTTTAATTACTTAAGTTTTGTATTCGCAAACTAAGACTTGCAGGGCTAGAACTATTTTATATTAATCTCTGAGTCCCCAGAAGTTTTGACAACACCACATATGATTTTATAACTGTGACTTAATAAATAATAGTCAAAGAAAGAAATGCATATTTAAAAAATTGTTTTAAATTTCCAATGAAACTGATTATGATTAAGATGATACTTTCCACTTCTAATTTGGATAATTTTGAAGAATTATAATTTGAAGAATTGTTGTTACCAGTATTGACTACTAGTTTTATAAAGGATTTTAATATAGTATCCACAAAACATGCATGCATTTATACAGATATGTCAAACTTTACCCTCATCATATTTCAGTGAGTACTGTTATCCCATCTGTGAATGGCAAACTCATGAAAAAAATTTAAGCAATTTCTCAAATTTACACAACTAAGTAAAAGCTGGAGTTTCCCAAATACAGATATTCTGCCACCAGAACCTTAATTGATCAAGTTGTGAGTAAGCTGAAGAAATTTCAAAACATATTTTTTGCTCTTATACTTTTGCACTTAAATTCCTATTTATGTAGCTTATAATTCTCCTGGGAACTGATAGTCACCAATATAATTCTAAGAGAAATATTTGGCTTTTCTAAAAGAAGCAAATGGTAAATTTAGAAAAAGTAAGCTCAATTTAAACATAAATTATTTAAGAATAAAAACATTTTGTTCATGTTAATGTTACAATTCTGTTTTTCTACAATTTTACATACAGTTATCTTTGCAAAAGATTTAAACTTGCCTTCAAGAGTAGTGGGTTTTGAAGCTTTCTCTTTTGGTAATGGGGGTGGGATGGCTGGACTTTGTCCTGTGAATACAACAGAGTAGTAGATATTTAGGAGGGAAAAAACAAATTTAATATCTACATCTAAAAGTCAGCTCTGTTCTCAAAATGTATAATTCATGATCAGAAGCATAAAATTTAAATTATTATGCAATAAGAAAATTGCTGTTAGGTGCAGACTTTATCTGGAAACATACACAGAATCAGTTATATTCAGAACCATTTCTGAATATATTATTTTTTATCGTTATATATAGTGTTAAATGTCTCTACTGGACTTCATTAATAGAAAATATACATGCAATCAAGTAAAGCAATTTATTTTCAGTTATACACATTAAATTATGGAAAATCATATCACAAAAGCTGTATGAAATTCTAATACATGGAAAAATAACGTTTTCATTTAACTAAAAACCATCAGTTTTTAATGAAAAGAAGGTTAAAATTCATAGGCTTTTTGATATTGAACAGGTACCTTTTCTCTGACAGAATAAATGACCTGCAGTTAAGTAAATAATGAACCAAAGGGAAAATATATTCCATTTTATAGAATCTTGAAAAGTTCCCTCTAGTCTCTGGGTTTATTATGAACCTCATAAAAACCTACTATTGTTTCCAAGTGCTTCCCTATCCCAAGTGAATTCTTTAATTAACAAAAACCATCCGGGCCATGAACTGTAAATATTAACTAACATGTGATCCCCTATGAAATGCTTGCAAAGTGTTTTATCATTAATTATAATTTCATAAACTCCTGCTTTATCTTTTTAATTTTTTCTTGTCTAAGAATCAACACCGTCATAGGCCCTTCTAAAAATTTCACTGACAACTAGATATTATCAAATGTCAGTAGACCTGCCTGCTTGCTGGAAATTTTCCTTTTTTAGAATTTGTCAAAATTAGTTCACTCTGTAAGTTGCTCCAAGAAGCAACAGAATAATGCATACCATGTTCTGTGGTGATAAAGAAAAAAAGCACATGCAGGTTTTATGCCAAGGAGATATTAGTCTCCATTCACCACAGGGTATTCTTTTAAGTTGTCAGACTCAGCTTAGTTCGTTCCTGTGCATCTTCTTACAGGCATAAAAATAAAGTTTATTATTTTATACCATATAAGATATATCTCATAGTTTTGCTGGAGTAAATCATTTAAACTTCATGAGATTCTTAAGTATAATTATACTTTTCATTGCAATTTTCATTTTCATTTTTTAAGTTTCCAGTTTTCATTGAAACACTGGAGTGTGAATTCAGAATACTCAACTACTAAGAATTGAAGCTGAATTTGAATAGAGGGTTCAGATTTGTACTTAAAATTCCTCTCAAACTGTTTCAGTAAAGCCAAAAAATTTTTTTTCAGAAAATAAAATTTCTACCCTAACTTCCATTTCATTTATAAGTCATAGATATCTAGACATGGAATAATTCTTTTTCCAAGAACGTAAGTATGCAAGTGCACATGCTCCTTAGAATGAATAGGCCTTCAATAAAACGATCTTACCAAAAAAAGTAAGATATTGGAGGAATCTCACAGATCATAAATGTGCCTGCCTTGCATTTATAGTCAGGAGTCCAAAGCCTTAGTCTTCCACATGCACTGAACATGATTCTGGCAGTTTTTCTCTCCATGATTCCTGTCAGAGTAAGCAATTTCTGGCTGCACCAAAGTCAAAGATGAACATAACAAAAAGGCGAGCTATCACTGGTAGGCACCGTGACTAAAAAGATGAGAACATGAGTGAGCAGTATCACCAGAAAGTGCAATCTCTGGCAAATACACATGGGTAGACTGCAGTAACCTCCTGGAGAAAATCATAATAATGACTTACATGCCTCAAAAAGAATGTTCTTCCTGTGGACCACATTTTCAAGCACCATGGCTAATGGAGTGCAAACCAGTTAGCACTATGGCCCAGCATACAAGCACGACAGATAGGTGTGTGTGACCTCTAGCAAGCAGCACAGCCAGAAACATATAGGCACGTTAGCCAGACACGAGTGTAACTCCCATTCATTACAGCAACATCAACAAAATCAATGAAGGAGAGTGAAGGGAATAAGAACTAGTCAGATAAAGAAGAAAAAAGATGTTTCCAAGATCCTGATAGAAACAGACTTATAGTAGGTCACTATCATATGGTATGCGAGTGTGAAATATTATGGGAACAGAAATATTGTACCCTGCAGTCAAAGTCCTAAAGGGCATTGTCCTGGTCAAGTGGAAAGGGACTTAGGAATTGTAGGCAAACTAACTGATGAAGAAAAGTCTTGAAAGCAAAAAAGTATATAAAATCATTCTAAAATTAGGTAATGCTTCAACAACATACAATGAACTAACCAGTTTATATCGGAAATTCTTGTAACTATAATTGTATAGGTTGTTCCAGACTTTCAGGCTGGAGTGATAACACAGCAGGTAGGGGTTTTGCCTTGCATACGGCCAACCCAGATTTGGTTCCTCCGCCGCTTTTGAAGAGCCTGCCAAGCTATGAGAGTATCTTCCCTACATGGCAAAGCCTGGCAAACTCCCTGTAACATATTCAATATGCCAAAAACAGTAAAAACAAGTCTCACAATGGAGATGTTACTGGTGCCTGCTCGAGCAAACTGATGAACAATGGAAGGACAGTGCTACAGTGCTACAGTTTCAGACTATCACCCTTAGAATATTCTCAACATTAGAGTATTTCTTTGCTACGTGAGATAAAGCTAAAATAACAAAGCTAGGTGGAAAAGAAAACATTACATTCCCATACCAAGAAATAATACCAAATAACCCATAAAACCACACAACACCAACACCAAGGCAGGGATGTTGTGGTAAATGCACATAAATGCGTAAAGGAGTTACAGGGAAAGGAATCTGGTGCAAGCACCCACTTCAGTGCCCTGTGTCAGCTGGCACAAAACAAATGGTGAAAGCAGCTATTTTTCCTATTTGTCTTTAGTCATGGGCTGGAGTGATAGCACAGCGGGTAGGGCATTTGCCTTGTATTCAGCCAACATGGCCGACCCAAGTTTGATTCCTCCGCCCCTCTCAGAGAGCCCGGCAAGCTACCGAGAGTATCTTGCCCGCACGGCAGAGCCTGGCAAGCTCCCCGTGACGTATTCGATATACCAAACACAGTAACAAGTCTCGTGATGGAGATGTTACTGGGCCCGCTTGAGGAAATTGATGAACAACGGGAGGACAGTGATACAGTGATACAGTCTTTAGTCACAGAGACAATAGAAAATTGAATTTCAATTAGGATAATCAGAAATGTCTTTCCTAAAAGCAAAACAAACATGCGAAGCAGGGTTAGTGCTGTATTCTGCTCTCCAACTTAACTGTGTGCTTGGTTCCAAGCAAGGGGGGCACTAAGGAAGTGGGTGCCTAAGGAAAGGGAGAAGGAAAGGCTAATGGCTCCCCAGCTCCAGGTGGTAATGAGAGTCCTAAGAGGGAAATCATTAATCCTGGACAGGATGTTATTGTGCTTGGAGGCACTAAAGCAAATTAGTGTCATTAAACTTAAGTGACACATGTCATTAGTTCTGTTTTCTTTTTATATTTTAATGATGGAGAGCACTACTGAAATCTGATGCTGTTTTGCTACCTAAATAAAGTACACATTCTTTTTCATCATGTATTTATATCCTATATTGCATCTCATGACATAAGAAACCTGAAATAAACATGTGAGTTAAGAAAACAAATATGACAACAGATAAATATAACTTGACAAAAATAGTATAGCTCATTTACAATGAAGATACCTTATAATTTATATCCCTGAAAAATTCTTGAGTCTGTCCCTCACCAAGCAAAGGTTTGGGTTGTTGAAATTTACCTTGGAAATCTAAGGGTAGTCTTCATTTTACAATCTATTACATGAAAATCACTCTTACATTCAAAGAAAGTTTGGTTTTTGTTCCCTAAGTGATTTTGGCTGACATATTTCCATAACCTGAATGGAATGTTTGTAAGCTGCCAATGTTGCATTGTTCTGAGATTTTTCTCACAAGAGACAACATTATTTTTGTTTTATATTTATTCAGATCCCCGTGGGGATAATAGACAGTGTGCATTCCTTCTAACAATAGTTTCTGATATTTTCTTTACTTTCCTAAACATGATGAATGAAATTTCTCAGAACTCAAGCCAAGTACGAAGTGATGAGATGAATTCAGATAATGTAGAAAGAAAAACAAACCATAAAAAAATTCACTACACTAAAGTGCAATCTTGTTTCTTTATTATAGGTGATTTCTTTGTTCTAAAACTGTAGCATTGTAGCACTGTCCTCCCATTGTTCATCGATTTGCTCTAGCAGGCACCAGTAACGTCTCCGTTGTGAGACTTCTTCTTACTGCTTTGGGCATATTGAATACTCCACGGGGAGCTTGCCAGGCTCTGCCTTGTGGGCAGGACACTCTCGGCAGTTTGCCAGCTCTCTGGGGTCTCTGAGAGGGATGGAGGAATCAAACCCCTGTCGGCCATTGTGCGAGGCAAATGCCCTACCCTCTGTGCTATCACTCCAGTCCCTATTCAACACATTTCTAGATAACTGATGTATATCTGCTAAATCTTGAAACAAATATCAATATTACTTTCTCCAGTGTCTGATAGACATTTTATTCCTTATCCCCCAGTTGAATTTTCCCAAGAGTCCTTTGAACACACAGAAAACTACAAACTACAAATCTCCCAGGCTTCAAACAATGAATAGGAAGAAACACTGTTATGTGTATAAACAAACCCAAATTACTTTAAAACACTTCAATTACATAATTACAAATTTGTATCACATTCTTTAGATTTAATAAAAGCATCTTCAAATCTATGACTGAAGATAATCTGGGGAGTTCTAAATTTATTTATTTGGTTGTATTGTTTTTTACCCAGTAGTGTTTTAGTGTGGGGTGACTACCTGCAGTTCAGTGCTAAGGATGACCACACCTGAGCATCACCACACTATTCTGGAGAGTAAACCCAGATTTCCTGCACTGAACACATGACCTCCAGACCATAGCTACTTAGC